GGCTAATGTAACAGTGACAGACAATGCATATGCTTTATATTAGCTTTTCCCCTCTCCATCTTTGTATTCAAAGGATTTCCTTTAAAATATATATATTATATCGATTTAAGGGAATATATGCATATGCTTTATATTAGCTTTTCCCCTCTCCATCTTTGTATTCAAAGGATTTCCTTTAAAATATATATTATATCGATTTAGGGGAATATAAAGAAAAACCAGCATGGACACTAGAAAAATGTTACGGCTAAAAGCAGGTAGGGCAAAATTTACAAAAGTTCTTTATTTAAAAACCCCAGAGCGTATAAAGGTGATCCCACTATTCAAAACACATTCTTATACCTACCGTTTGAAAACCTGCATCACAACCCATATTTACACCATAAACCTTAGTTTTATGTGCATAATACACAACATAAGTATATACATAAACATATATGAAGACCATATGCACCCACAGAACACAGATACAACTGAGGAAAGTTAGTAACTGAAGTTGTATTTCCTATATCACAAAGTAAAACTCAGGAGAGAAATGTTTGAATATAAGCAAATCTAAATGTTTCCAAGAAACGGACTTTTTTCTAACAGATTTCACACTGATAAAGTCTTGACTGTTTTCTGTTTCATACAGGAGCTCAAGAGTTATTTCAGACAAACAACGGTACAAAGTTTTCATAAAGAATTTTTAAAAATAGTGCAAACTATGGTTGAAACACTGTTGTCACCACCTCAAGGAAACTATCGGTATTTAATGCAGCATCCCAGTGAAAGGACTCGTGGGGCAGTGGAGATGTCAAGACAACAATGTGATTAGTTTCAAACCAGACAGCCTCTACCAGCCACAGTTTCAAGACACAGTAGCAACATGCTGCGGTAGACACCATGCCACAGTATCATAACCGAAACCCAAGGAAGCATTTCCTTGTTGTTTCAAGCTTTACTGTCTATTGCAAGTATTCTGGGGAAATGCCCGTTCCTGAAGAGTCCTTTCAAAGCAAACTGCCTACTCAAATGAGAAACAGAAAACTTTGCATCACACCTGGTCTTTTAATAAACAACCCAGTCAACTCCTCTGCTAAGAGATTAGTGTAAGCGTACGATTCAACAAATCGTATCAAGTAACTGGACAGGTGACAAAGCATACCACTTTTTTCTACCCAGGATTCCAGTCAAGTGGTGATTTCAAATGGGTTGTTGACAAACAAATTTGTAAGAATAGCCAAAAAAAATTGCTATTTTGTTCTGCGGTTTATCATTGTAGGACCTTATTGTACAATCTGTTAAATAACTTCAGCCCCAAGGCTTTCACTTCCAGGATAATCAGCTTAAAACAAAGGCGGATTTCCGGATAAGCTTAACAAGGTTCTTAATGACAGAATACAAGTCGGTCAGGAGTTCCCCAAAACAAACTAAAACAAGAACTGATGAGCAACAAAGGAAAGACTTTAAGGCAATAAGCAGCATCAGTGCTATGATGCTCCAACATTCGTTACCAGTTTCAAGTTCTACTGCAAAAAAAGACTTTTGGAATCTCTTCCAGATCCGTTAACTGTTGTCAGACTTCTCCTCTTCCTCCACTTCCTCCTCCTTCGTGTCTGCCTCGGATTTATCTGAAGATTCGTGGAGAAGAACGTATTCCCTGCTGCTGAACCCAAACTTCAGCACGTCCTTCTCCTTCAGTTCGTAGTAACGCTTAGGTTCAATCCGTTGGTTATTTAAGAAAGTACCATTGCCGGAGCCAAGATCTATGATATAAGGCCTTACTCTACGGCCAACTGTACCATCAGCCCGCGTATACTCCACAAGCCTGGCAAAAACAAAAAAGACACCTCTTTACCTACAATCCTGAAATGCATCCTGCCCTCTTCATGCACTCATTTGGCCAACTGTTGCTAAAAAGCTCCCTGACCCCAGTGCTACTCCTTGCCTGGGCGGGGGGCTCCAGGCCAATCTTGGAAGTGCCATCTGGAAGCGTGCTTTGCTCACTTGCACCACCCTCAAAATGCAGCATCGTCAGAGCATTAGAAGAGCTCTGAGTGCCAGCCAATGAGCGTGCCCCAGACCAGTACTGGGGCACAGGCTGTGGGCTCCTCTAACATGGCAACATTGGATCACTTCCAAGATGTGGCTAATCCAGAGGCAGCACGAGTAGGTGAGGCATGTTTCTTGTATCATGATTTCCCCAAACACAGCACGGAAGCAGTGTAGACACACTCCAGCTACTGCACCAGCTCACCTGCATGCCCGATTTACAACCTGCCTTACTTAAAGGTTGCTTACGGTTAGATGCGAGGAAAGACATGACTACCGCTTAAAATGGCACACACTATTTGGTACTAGCATTCAGCTATTGCTGAAATAGGAGGTATCATTTACAGCTTTGCTTGGATGAAAAGGATCTTGAACACTGACTGCTTTCACTTCTAGCCCCCAGCATAAACCTTCCCCCCAGACGGGTGCAGTGAATACATACCGATACTGAAACACAGCATGCTGCTTGGAGCAAGATGGATGGTCGATGGGGATATCGGCAATTCTTCGGTGCCGGCCCAGGAGGTAAGCGCTCTGCCTGTGAATGTACATGACTGGGAGCACCTCGTCATTCTTAAAGGGGTAGAGACGCCATCGTTTCTTTGGAATCCGAGCTTCTGGGGGCTCGCTGTATTTAATCACGACGCCGCGGAAAGTGTTTGAATCCTCTAGAAGTGCGCCAGACAGTTCAAAGCTTGGTTTCTCTTTGTTTGCTGGCTCTTTGTCTTTAGTTTTACTGTCTGATCTGCCAAGTTCAGGGTTGCCAAGTTCAGGGTTGCTCGCTTCGTTCTTTTGTCGATTTTCACGTCTTCTCTCATCGTTAAATTCCCTCTCTGCTTGCTGCTCACGGAGGTTCTGGGAATCCCTCTCTCTCTCGTGACCTCGACCTCCAGGCCTTTCGCTGGAATTTTTCCTTCTGTCCGAATGGTCTCTGTGTCTGTCTCGCTCTCGTCTGTGTTCCTGTTCGGGCTGGTCTCTGTGCTTTCGTTCGTCGTGTCCTCTGCGGGAATGATCATCTCGCTCCTGGAACAAAAAGACATTAGAGTGACCTATTCAGAATTAAGGGAGAAAGAAAAGGCAGGGAACGTTGTGTAGTCTTTAGAAAAACAAATCACAATTTAATATGAGAAAACATACAGACTCAACACACGCTGTATACAGACTTTTGCTGAATTAAGTTTTGATAACATGACTGAATGAATGATCACTGAATAAATAATCATGATCTCAAGTTTCAGAAATGAAATACAGGCAGAATTGGTTTTAAATGATTTTACTCTAAAATCAGAAGTTCCTTAATTCTTAGCTGTTCTGTCTTACTGTAACTCAAAAATGATTCAGGTGCCATCATGTTAGGTGCTGCGTACACAGAGGGCAGAAAGTATCATTGGCCAGCACAGTTTGAAGTCTCACAATAAAGTACTAGATAACAAACAGCTCTGTCACTTCCACACATGGTAAAACACTAATTCAGCCAAATTTAACAAGTGTTACTCTACCGCTGATATGTACTAACACAACACTTAGAAACACTCTCAAATTTCCTTATTCCTTTTCCTTTTCATTTCCACACTACAGACACTTGCAGAAATGACAACTCCTTCAGAGATCTTCTGGCTCATCTTCTTACTCCCCACCCAAAGCTCAGTAGCACAAATTTTCCTATTATCCTAATACACCAGCAACTTTAAGAGAATCTGTTTGTGAATCACCTCATTTCCCAATGCACCAAATCTTGGGTCCCACACAAGTGCCACTGTTCTGCAATTCCAGTTTTAAATGATTAGTGATTTAATCAACAGGACAGGAGAGGGAAGGATCTCCTTTAGAAGAGCAAGCACATGCCTGTTTGGAAGCATCCTACTACTTTCTATTGCTGCCGAGAGGCCCCAATTCAACACACTACACGCTGTGCTGTACCCCTCCCCCCCGTGTCACCACTATTCTGGGGAACTGGACCATCTTAAAGGGCGAGGCTGCATGAGTGACAGAGGCCAGATTAACAGGTAATCCCTGCAAGCACTCAAACATTTGAGGCAGAGTTTGTGATGGAGTTGGCTGTACTTTAGGCCATTGCTGCAAGATAACTACACTCTAAACTTATGAACTATCAAACTATCACCTGACCCCCAGGTGTCTTTCCTGCTTGGTCCAGGGGACTGGACCCGATGATCTTCCGAGGTCCCTCCAACTTTACAATCTATGAAAAAAACCGTGGTTATCAAGTAAGAAACTAGTCGCCCCACCTTCTTCAGATCCTGCTCCTACAAATTAACCCGCACACCTGCTCTGTATGGCTGCACAGGACCCCTGGGGTTTCAACAGGTTATAACCAAAGTAACAAGCAGGATCAGGACCTCCCCGTTAAATATATTACCTGCTTTACTTTGACCACAACATGATGAGGGCTTCTGCTTCTTCGATTGCGAGGAGACTTGCTTCTTCGACTGGAGGATTTATTTTTTCTTTTGCCCGGTGATCTTAACAAAGCAGAACAAAACACAACACAACTGAGCTGTCTGGCCCACGTCACGCAGAGACAAAGGACGTTTGTGCAGCGGTTAAGCAGCGATTGAAGCTTGACCTAATAAAATGGGCGTTAACAAGCTGGAGGCTTCAGAGCAGAGAAGAGAGGCAGGTGGACGAGGCAAGCACGGGACCACGAAGCTGCCCAGGCGACCGCGAAAAAGGCGACCGTAAACGTCTCTCTCAAACGAGGCACTTTCAGTCAAAACAGAGATTTCACGCCACCATAAAGCCTCACCTGCCAGGCGGGGTCAAGCGCTCCTGAAAAGTGCATCCACACTGGGGCGCGGATGGGGACGGACTCGGGCAAACCCTGGGGGCTGGGAAGCTGCGGCACGTGTCGCCTGGCATGGCCACGGCCATGGCCACGAGGGGACGCGACGACGGCCTGCAAATCCACCGCGAGCGTCGACCTCAGAGGGAGGAAAAGCTGCCGACGCCAAGGCGCGACCTGGGCACCAGAGCGAACGGAGCGGGTACAGCTCGCCTGGAAGCCGGGACAGGGTTTCTAGCCGTCGGGAGATGCCGACCCCCTCCCAGCGCTTGACTGACACTCCCTCTCCCCGAGACCCCTCTCCACAACTAAACGTTTTAAAGAATGACCGAGACCAGCGGCTCCTCGTCCGCGGCGCGGGGACCCCCGCCAGCCGTTGCCGCCTTCAGATTTATTATAACGCCTTGATGTGAGAGAGGTGCGCGGGGGGAGCTCGAGATGGGATTGTTTTAGACCGGTCGGGGAGACGCGGATCGGCGCGGTGCCGCGCTGCTGGTCGCTACGCGACGGGCAGACAGA